CTTCTGTCCAGTAGGTGATGTTCTGGTCTTGGGACTCCATTTTGTGTTGCAGGCAGAGTGCCATTTTAGAAGCATGTTTGGACAACCCTGCCATGTTAGTATGTAGGCTTGGTCTGTGCTTTATGTCCCTAGTAAGGACAAGTCTTTTTTTTTTCTGTACTATTCCCAGAGTCTTCCCAGGCAGCCTGGTTGTAGGCTCTGAATCGTTTTTTTTTTTTTGTGGAATTGAAATGGACCCTCCTGGCCTGGATCAGATGTTCTTTCTCCCTGTAATTAACTCTCTTTAATCTGGGAGAAGGGAGCCCCAACTCCAGAATAGTGCTTAGCTAGGGCTCAAAGGGGCTAATAAATCTGCAGGTAACCCAAGAATTTTTGGGGGCCGGAGTAGGGGAACACCTTCTTTTCCTGGGCTGGGATTGATGGACTTTTTCTTTCATCCCCTATTCAGTGATATTCCTCTTAATTTTGAAGGCTAACCCTGGTGAGTCAGGGCATGGGTTGTTTCAGGTTTTGAGCTCCATCCCCACCTCACCCCCCCATAGTTGGAGAGATAGTAATGGGGCTGACTGCAAAGTCTTTCTCTCTTCCCCCACTGTGGGCATGGGCCTGCACATTGGTTGGGAGGATGAAAGGAAAGCAGATAACTGCAGGCTTCTAGGGGTTGGTGCAGCAACACCAGCTCCTTGCCAGAAGGGTCCTCAGAGATATGGGTGCCAGCTTGGTAGACAGCTTATGTTGTAACCAGGCTTCAGCTCAATCTGGTTACAACAGGAGAGAGGATTTTCAGCATGACCCCATAGGTGAAAAATGATCTAGAAGATGATTCTTCTCACCTCCATTTCTGCACCCAGTCTCTTCTTGTTGCATTTTGACTGGTTAAAACCTCTCTCCCCTCATTGACTTGTCTTCTCCCAAAAGGGTGTCAGGCTCTCAAACTAGCTTCTGTTCCCGATCAGAATTCCCATTCCAGCCAATCTCTGGTTTTAGGCATTCAGTTTATTGATTAAAGTGTGGTTGGACCTGAAGAGGACTTGGGATGGGTAAGAGGGTCTTCATTATCTGTGCTCTGTGACTATCCCCCACCCTGGATTTTTAAAGAAGAGCTTGTTTACCCAAATTCCTAAATGATGGCCCTTTTGGGGAGGAGATCTTTTTACTCTAGGCTTCCCCTACTCTGATTTTCCAGGTTCCTTTCCATTTGCTACTCCTTCTCTGAGGGTGTGGAGTAGTCTGACCCAGTCTCTCTGTTTTCTTTTTTTAACATTCCCAATTCCTAGCCTCTTTTTCCTCCATGCCCCACCCCTCTTCCTCCTCCCACCCCCCCACCCTGCAGCTGTGCAGAGCAGCAATTGAATGTCTCTATTTATTAGGCCCCAGTTTACACAAGTTTTTAGGAACTTCTCTTCCCCCACACCCATGTAATTTGGCATTCAGCCGTATCCTTGTCAAAGAAGGGTTACAGATGATCCAAAGTTGGAGAATGCTTTAGGACAAAGGGGAAGAAGGGGAAGGGATCAGCCATGCACATTTGGAGGCTAAAGGATGGGGGGACCACTCCTGGCACTGATGCCATCTGGACAGAGGTGGTACAGGTTGGAACTAGCTTAGTGATAGACATCCTGCAATTGTCTCACTAGCAAAATTGTACTCCTTTTTGTTGGCTTTGGAAGAGGGGACCCAGGGAGAAGAACAGGGCAGGGGATTGACTCTCAGCTGCCACCTCTTTTCCACTTAGAGCCGGGTGCCTAAAGTACTTTGCTTGATTTATTGACACCCCATTCTGTGTAAAGGGCCCAGCACTTAAGAACTGTGGGATTCTGGACTAGTCCCAACACCTCTCTGGATTGTTGTTTCCTCCTGTGTAAAATAAGGTTGAATTAGTGGACCACTGAGATTTCTACCAGTGCTAATATTCTGTGATTCTGAGAGCCTGTGCATATCTCCACCTCCAATATAGGCTCTTAGACTGGAAGAGACCTTGTTTATCACAAAGGAGGATGAGTATGAGGGGATGTGATCATGAGCTTCCATCTCGTGGATGTTCTCACTGAGGACAATATTTAACAGTGGAAGAGACCTTTGGAGTCTGTTGTGTCCAACTGCCTCCTTTTACAGATGAGGAAACTGAGACCCAGAGAGGTTAGGGGACCTGTCCAGGGAGAGCCACACAACTTATAAGTGCCTGGGCCTTTGATGTGGGTGTGGGTAGGTCAAGGATCAGTTGAAGCATGAGAGAGAAGTGTAAAGTGGAGTTGTTCAAGAATGCAGAAAATAATTTATTGACTAGGGGTGTGAGGAGAGAGAAGTCCTGGGCATAGAGAGGGCAGAGGCCCAGATTCATGTGATATAGATAATAAGCAAATCAGTGGAAAGATCCTAGTTTCTTCTAGCCCCTTCGTCAACTAGATAACCTTGGACAAATCACTTGAGTTTCTTCTTTGCCTCAGTTTCTTCATCTGTAGGAGGAGGTTGGACTAGATGACCTTCCAAGTCCCTTCCAAATCGTAAGGTTTTAATTTATTTTTCTCTGTAGAAATTATTCACTGCCCTGTCCCCCTTTTAATCAAGAAAGAGTGGCTCATGGTCAAGAGGATAAGTTATTCTAGTGGTTTGAGTAGACTGGGGTGACATGGAACATGAAATCTGGCATTGTTTCATATGGCAGATCCTTTCCAGATGAGTCCCAACCTTCATAGAAGACCCCCTCTGTACTCCATCTCCTGCCTTCAAAGGAGAAGTTGTCCAATTTCCTGTGCCTATTTCATTTAAGGACTGTTACTCTTAATTGTTGTTGAAGGATTACAAGTCTTTCATCCACGGGACAGTTGGGGAAATGAAGGCATTCATTATCTCTTGGTTTATAAAATGTGCAATGAATACAAATAAAATGGAGAGCCTCTGAATGGATTCCCCCCTCCCATGTATATTTCTGCTACTTAAGATTTTTACAACTTGAATTCAGTTTTTTAAAAACTGGGTCAGTTTGAGGAGAGAAGTGGCACAATGTCATTTTGGTAACATTAATGTGATGTATGGAAGCTTATAGAAGGAGAATTGGGAAAGACCTTAACTTCTGTTAGTGACATTGGCAGAGCACTGGACAATGATTGTGGCCAATTTCAGAAGTTATGATTTACTTCCTTAAGTCCATCACTACAGACAATTCTTAATGATTGAACCAATTGCTTACAGGAAGCATTTAAGATTCCATGTTTCCCTTGTGCACTTTTTTCTTAACAAAATAAAAAACTCTAAAATGAATTAATTTAAGTGAAATAGGCCCCTTTTGTTGTAAAAAAAAAAAAAAAAACCAACAAAATAAGGGAGCAGACAAAAACCTGATGAATAATCAGGCTCCTTCCAAAATTGGTGATTTCTAGCATTAACGTTATAGAATTTTGGATGGACAGTTCCTGCTATCCTAATAAAGGGCAGTGGAGAGTGACCTTTGTTTTTTTGTTGTTGTATGAAAGAGCACAGCAAGCTTTAAGTGTGAAATAAGTGTGTTAGTATTACATTTGTTATGTTTCTAAAATTTAGATTAAGTCTTTGTTTTTCCTACCCAAACTTTCTCCAAAATGTAAGTCTTCCACACACTGCATTGCCTCACCCTGAGCTTTGTAATGGACTTTGGTTTATAGGGAGATTCATTCTCTCCATTTTGAGTTGAGATGCTCCTAGGGTTGCCTATCTGTCCTGGCTGTTCTGCCTCTGTGCTCTCTCCATGATCAGTGTTACTGTGCAGACCACATGTGTGGTCAGGCTACGAAGAGAGGGAGAGTTAGGTAAACAATACCAGACCCAGTAAGTTGCTAGATGTAGGGTGACCATCTATCTATAGAAGCATTATCTGTTCTTAAAGTGTAGTAGGACTGAGGTTCCTATCGTTTTAAGTTATTCAGGAGAATCATGAGACATTTAGATAGAGAGCCAGCTGTGGAGAAAGTATTTAACCATTTTATATGCTTCTATCTTGAAAAAAAATTACTGATTTAAAAAAAATTCAATTTTAACAACACATCAGTAATATTATGAATGAGAGCTAGATATTTTTATACAAAGAGGGTTGTGTTTTCTTTTTTCCTTCTCAATTGTAGAGAAGGAGGAGAAAAGCTTATGAAATTAAAAAAATTAATTTAAAGAAAAAAACTAGCAAGAGGTTGGAGGAGACAGAAGGGGCCTTGCATTTTCATTGGGGTCTGTTCCAGATTCTGAATTCAGAACCTTTGTTCAAGTCAGGTATTCAAGTGTAGAGGCAGAAAGTGGGAGCCTTGGAGCTGTGTGTGTGTGTGAAATTCTGAGGATCATAGTCTTAGAGACATCCCAGAAGGCAATCACAGTCCCCTTTTTTATTGACTGTGATCATGTGTGAATGCCAAAGACAACGGTCACTTCTTAGGGAGGATTTTTCAGCTCTCCTTTTCTCTAGCACCCATCTTATATCTTAACTCAGGGTCTTTTGGAATCTCTACTTCTTCTCTCAGTTAAATTTCCCTGGAATTTAGTCTCTTAGGTTATATCTGTCCCTGGGTCCAAAAAGGAAGTTTTTGGCTTTTGGGTTTTTTTTTTTTTAAAGGGGAACTTGTTTTTGTTTTTTAAGTAAAAAGATAACGTTCAAATGACGAACTCCAGCTCCTGTTTCATGTAACTGTATGCCAGGAGGAAATGTTTGCATGTTTGTGTCTATGTGAAAATGTGGCCTCCTTTCTCCCTCATCCCTAGAAACGAGGCAGCTGGGCTTCCATAAAGCTGCCGCACCATGCTTGCTCTTAGATTAGTCAGCATGAAATAGATTTGAAGCCAGGGATCCAGGGATGGGCAAGACAGAGGAACATGTATCCTCTCGTGGTGTCCTTCCTGCAGTTCTTTAGATCAAGGCTCACATTAATCTCATGGCTCTTGGCCAGCATCATTTGCTTTGCAATTAAAAACATATTCTTATCTTTGCTACCAATCCCAACGGTTAACCGCTTTGTATTATTTTCTTCTCTTCCTCATAGGTTCTGGATAGCGTCTTGGCTCAGTATGGGTTGGTGGAGAGTTGTGAGCAAGGTATGTGTCTCTTGAACTCATTTGATTTCAAATTGATCGAAGAAAGGAAGTAGAAGGAAAACTTAATTTGGTTGTTCCTGTGGATTTTTCTCATTCTCCAGTGAACACTGATACTGAGACTGCCGTGGTCAATGTGACCTACAGCACCAAGGAGCAGGCGAAGCTGTAAGTATTCTGTACCGCTACATTTTATACCTGGTTTCCTGACTTCAGTAAAATCATTTTGCTCTAGTGACACCATTAATGTCCAGGGGAGGGGGTATGGGAAGGGAGGGAGGGAGGGAGATGGATGCCCTCTGCCAACGCCCTTGGCTTTCTCCTGGAAGCTCATGGGTGGAACAGCGGTTCACATTGATCACATTGTCTTCATGTTCTTTACTGTGAAAAATGTGAAGAGATAATTCTTTGAAATTTCAGGGATGCTAGGCCACAGACTTATACTGTGGGCCAAAGCATAGCCAGCTGAGCTTATGAAGAGCTCCTCTGTCTCTCTAACTGGTACCCATCAAGACAGGAGCATTGTGTATATTTTATATGGGGATTGTATATATTATGGATACTGTATATACGTATGTGTGTATGTATGTATATCTTACAAAATGTGTGATTTATTCTTTGTTAAAAGTTAGCAGAGCTCTTGACTTTAAGTACCAATTGGAAGTCTGGCATTTGATTAAGTTTCTCCTAATTTAAGAAATGGTTGCCTGTATTCTTGGCAGTTGGATTTGTTTCATAAATTGAAATGTATTTACCCCCAGATTCCATAGATCAACCTCATTTTCTTGTCTTCCCTCATTCCTCCCAGTCTGCCTCAGTCAAACACATACATTATAATTATATAGATCTGGGATCCAATTGAATGGGCAGAACCATTGACAGATGGATTTGTTATTGGTGGTATGAGATCCTCTGTAGAATGAGGTGGTTGTGCTCTGTAACCTCTGATGTTCCTTCCACCTCTAAATCTATGATTCTATGATCAAACCCAGAGAAATAAAACTTTGAGGATTGCCTGGTAGGTTTGTTGGGTTGGCTGGAATTAATGTAATTATATCTAGGAGAACAACCACCTCAAGTGGTCCGGTTGACACAAAACAAACCAACAGCCAGTGGTTGTGTTACAAGTGACAGCTGCCTTGAAGAGCTTCAGCTAGAGTTTGATGCTTGACCTACAATCTTTTCACCTACCAGGAATGCTAGGATTCCAGCAGCCTATAGCCCCAAGGGCCTTTAGATTATGAAAGTCTTACTAATATTTGCAAAGTCACAGGTCATTAGAAGGGCAGGCACCATACTACTATATGGAAAGACAAAGAGGCTGGCAAGACAATGTTGGCCAATCTTCCAGCCCAAAGAGAGTTGGAAATTGGGAAGCCATGTTATAAGAAAGAAACAGTTGAGTATTTTTCCATACTTAAGAATTGATGACCTGTATCTTAGGGTCTAGATGCCATTTTCTGACATTACGGCTGCCCCCCTCTTCAATAAAGGGGGCTGAGGAGCCAACCCCACAACATTTGCTTTCATGTTGCTATATAGTCATATTTGAAGACCAGTAAGCAATCACCTGAATACCCAGGAGGAAAGGCAGTATCCCACATCTCTCAGTGGAGGACAAATGATGCCCCCCTAGTTTCCATCTGTGGTAGTGACAGGTCACTCATACAGGGAAGACTGATTGATGGGACTCTATTTCAGGAAAGTCTCTGCCTAATGTTCGCATCAATGACTCAAGGTGTCAGGTCTTGGTTATCCACTGTTAGGGAGGTGAACAGCTGGCTCCAGGCTCATACCTAAAGAGGAGTCATCAAAGAAATGGCATCACCCTCCAGGTCCTCTGGGACACTCTGGTGTGTCTTCCACATAAACTATAATTTTTATCAGTATCTTAGGTGAAGGAATCAATAGTGTCCTCATGAGTTGTATAGATGATGCTGAAAAGCAAGGTAATTTTTTGTAATTTCAAGAAATGATTTTGATAAAATAAGATAAAATCCAGTAGGGACCAGTTTAGAGGATTCCTGAAAATTGAAAAAGAAAAAAAATCTCAGTAAGAGCCTGAGCAAGGGCTCCACGAGGAAGGAGGCTAAAGTAGGGAACAGTGGCTTCCAAACTGGCGTCTGACCTCTAGTATTCAAATGAGACATTGTCATCAAATTCCCTGCTTGTTTTCCACTAATGTAAAACCAGATGACATGTCAAACTGTGTAACTGGCTGGACAATGGCAACATCTTGAAGAGGAAAGGTATTGTTGTCCTTCCTAACTTGTCCTCGGGTTCCAGCTCACACATTGCATTGGATTGCTTGCTAAAAGCATGTAGCATGGAAGGATATAGAATTGTCCTTCTACCTGACTCCATTTAAAATGTTCATGTGACATGTGCCATGTGACTTACAAACCTTCAGGCACTGTCTAGATATGAGTTGGGGTTATCTCGCAATTCACTCAGTCCTCCTGCTTTTCCCTCTCTCTGTTCTGTGGGACCTAAACTAAGTCATTTCATCTGGCGCCCATTTTCCCTACTCGAGAGGCTTACCTGGATGAACTCAAAGACCTCTTTCTGCTCTGAAAGGTGCTGTTAAAAAAAAAAAACAACTACTTTTTTTTTTAGAACATCCAAAAAAAAAAAGCAGAATTGATAACTTTCCTTCTCCTAACTTGTGCAGTAAAAGCATCCAAGAGCAGGGAATGAGGGTATTGGAAGTTGGCTAATATCCCATGTGGATAACCATTCTTGCCTCATGGTCAGTTGGCTGGAAGACCTACCTCACAGGGTTGTTGTGAGGACCTAATGATGAAAGCAAATGTCTAACCTGAAATGTCATATTCTTTCATGTATGTGTCAATATCCTGACTAACTTGATATGCTTGGAAAAGTCACATGATTTTCCTAAAGAGCTGATACTAACATCCCTTGGGCATAGCAGCAAATCTTGCTAAGTAATCTAACCAAATATCAAGGTCACTAAGCTTGAGTTTCAACTATTCTTTTTCACATTCAGAAACTCAGCCTCACTCTTTGACTCCGGTGTGCTGCAAAGTTAGCTTGTCAGCTAAAGCTGGCCACATGCATGCTCCCCTTTGGGCCACCATGGAATTCTGGAGGAATGACCCTGTCTCCCATTGGTCTGCATTAGGTATAGAAATAATTTGTTTCTGATGCTTGCTCGCTCAGATCCTTCCCTTGTTTGGAGGCTGCTTCTAACTTAAGGGCACTATGGGCATTTTCAGGGGTATCTGAGGGGAGGGAGGGGGAGGAAGAGAAGCAATGCCCTATCCCTGGAGTTTATTGCTTGTGGTACCAGAACAATTTTTTGCACTGGATCCGTGTGCTTTCAGAACTGAGGTCATATATAATTCTGCAATGTGAGCTGATTTTTCTTCTCCCCCCGCAAAGAAAAATCTTTTTAAAGCAGGCACATAATAAAGTTTGAAAATTATCCATAAAATTGAACAAGTTGACTGAATTTTCTTGGCATTCCAATGCCTTGCTCAGATCCATCACTCCACAGGTCCTAGGTGACGTTTGATAACTGTTTACTCACCTAGCTCAGAAGGAGATTTTGGAGAGATGATGCTTGTTTGGGCTCAGGTTGGAACAGATGGCTGCTTTTGTCCCTTTTCAGCTTTGGGATCCTGTGATTTTGTGATAAATATGCTTTCTCCTTCATCTAGCCTGACAGAAGGGCCTCGTTTTACCTACGAAGGTTGATCTGAGCCATATTTATCTTTATGTGTGTGTATGTGTGTTTGCATGTTTATACACGCACACACACACGCACACATATATATAATATTGGAAATACTCATCATGCTTGGAATCGACTCGCCCTCAGAGGACTACGGGCTGGTGAAGCAAATAGCACCCAACTTCCAAGTTGGGATAGGGCAGGGTGTTGATAGAATCCCCCTGACCTTTCCTCCCTTCGGTAGAGCCATAGCTGTGGCTTGCATCAGTCAGATGTGTTGTACAGGAATACCTTCATGTACTATTTCTCTTCTAGTCTCTCTTTCAAAGAGGGCTTAATGTTATTTTGAGGGCTGGTGGTTGATTGGTCAAAAATGCCATCCCCTCTCCCTTCTGACTCACTTGTACAGTGTTTAGTGATGGTGTCCATTTCTGAACTCTTGTGTTCATTCAGAGGTGCCCTCCCCCAACTTAATTGAGGTGTGGCATTTTCCACAAGAGCATTTGGATGAGTTGGAAGGAGTTGCTCCCTAAGAAGAAATTAAAGACAGTCACATACATGGGCGATGAAGGCAGAAGGAGGTGATCTCAGGGCCTTGCTCATCTGGACGTGCATGTCAACTTTGCTTGCTTTCCGAGACCTGGCTTTCTGAGATGCATGTTTCTGATGCCTGCCCAACAAGGGCTAACAAATGCTGGTGACACTTCCTATATGCCCCTCCCCCTTTAACTTTTTATTCTAGGTGAAATATTTATCAGTTTAGGATTAGTAAGTCCAGCACCGAACTCGTCCACCGTCTGCTTTGCTCCTGGAGAATGTGACCGTGGTGTTACAGGATGCCACCATCGATGACCTTCTTACCTCTGCTCTACTTTGCCCCGTTGGGCCTTCTGGTATAATTCTAAGGCCCAGCTCGGCAGAGTGTATCAGCGGGAAGACCTGGACCCCCCGGAGCTCCTGGGAGAACCGCATCGAGAAGACGTCGGCGTCTTTATTTAGGGTTGAATTGCATTGCTTTGTTGCGGTTTTTTTTGTTGTTGTTCTAGAGAAAGAGGTAGCATGATGTAGTGGATAGAGAGCTGGCTAGGAAGACACAAAGCTCTGGGTTCAAACCCTGCCTGTGACATATCCTGGCTGTGTGTCTTGGAGAAAGATACTTCATCTCCTAGCACTCCAAGCAATATCGGCAGGATTGAACGTGCAGAGCAGGTGGTGACTTGTAATGGCAGAGGGCGTTTTCTCACCTGAGATTTCTCTATACCAGGGAAATCCCAGTAGTGGTTCCTATCCCAGTCTCTTTGTTCTAATGGTGTAACAGAGGAAAATGAACTGTGGAGGATGTATCTGCGTGGGTATTGCATGAAGCATTGCTTGGATTCACTGTTGGGGCCATGTTGTCATGTTTGGGGCAAAGTTGATTGGGGTTCCATGTTTGCTTTTTTTTTTTCTGAGTGTGTATATCATGTGGTATGAGGACTATTTCAAGTGCTTCATTCTACCTGCCTTTTGTGCCCACCTGCCATTTGGAAATAGTATACAGATGTTTTCTTGGACTCCTCAGATATTTAAGTGACATCAAATAGGTGAAATTTCTAGGTTAGAACAGAAGCCAGGGTGAAGGTGAGGAGCAGAACACCTAACAGCTCCTCTGAAGACTAACATTGCCCACTCATTTCTGACTTAATTTCCTGGCTCTTCCTCAATTGTTGCCAACCCAGATGATAACTGGTGTTGAATTAGACCGCCTATCAGTTAGACTCAGTATTTTTATTTAATGCACTCTACTGTTAGCAATAAAGAAATTTCCCCCTGGTATCCCAAGAACTTTTTTTTTTTTTTCGCTTTTTGATGAGGCAGTTGGGGTTGAGTGACTTGCCCAGGGTCATGTAGCTAGTAAGCGTCAAGTGTCTGAGGCCGGATTTGAACTCAGGTCCTCCTGACTCCAAGACTTGAGCTCTATCCACTGTGCCACCTAGCTGCCCCACAAGCATATTTTCTTAGGGAGATCTTTGACCTTGTACACTAAATTCTTCCCCTCATGGATTGGCTTTGGGTTCCAGAGCAACAGCAAGAGTTGAACAACCTGAACACTCAAATTGAGGCTACAAAAATGTAACACGTATACTTCATTAGCAAAGATACAAATGATCCTCGTTGAAATCAAATGTACCCCCAGGACAGTAACTAATCCCTCCTAATGAATATATTATTTTTCCATCATAGATTACAAAGTTAATTTGATCATATGTTCTGTCCTGCTTATCCCTGGTACCAAAATTGCTGCTTATTCTTCTGCTGGCTCTCTCAGCCTAGGTAGTGAGAACAGAAAGGGAGCTAGCAAGGCTTCTGTTATAGGGTCCAGGGATAGACTCTGCGTCTGATCCCAAGATCGCTCCAGAGTGGGTTATCAATAGGGTGATCAATTTTCCAGTCTCTGTGATTGATGACATTGTTTCACTGAAGATTAGAAGGTTTGTCAACTGCTTTGGTAAAGCATACCCACTTTTGAATCACAGTTCTCTGGCACTGTTGATGTGAGCACTTGGAATTAAGCATGTCTCTGTGTTTCTTGTTGGGTATTGGTGTGTCGTCGTTCCCCCCCCCCCCAACATTTTGCCTTGTTGAAATGAACAACAACAACAAAACCTCAAGTTTGTTTCTTTGTGTGTCTCTTCTGTAAAATTTTGCAAGAAAAAGTCTTAAGTTTTTTTGGTCTTCGACCATTAAACTTAACTTATGGTTTGTTTTCATTCCTTTCCTTTCTCCCTCACCCTGCCATATCCGTTTGTTGGTGTATCAGTGCGATTGAGAAACTGAATGGCTTTCAACTAGAGGGCTACAGCCTGAAAGTTGCCTACATCCCGGATGAACTGGCCGAGCCACCTGCCTCAAGCTCTGCGGCCGGGCCGAGTCGCCGTGGCTACGGCCACAGGGGACCGCAGAGACAGGGATCCCCAGGAGGAGCTGCTGCGCAGAACCACCATAATGATATTCCGCTTCGTATGCTGGTCCCAACCCAGTTTGTTGGAGCGATTATTGGGAAAGAAGGTGCCACCATTCGAAACATCACCAAGCAGACCCAGTCTAAGTAAGTGTCCTGTGTGTCAGGGACATTGAAGGAATTTCCATGTGTGTCCCATCGGATCACACCAGTGGGGCATGGGGTGGGGGTGGAAGGAGCGCCCCCCCAGCACTTTCTATCTGTCTGAGGATGGTCTCTTATCAGTGTCTCTGGCTTGGCTTTATGGAGTCCTGAGACTGCAATCTTGATCTCAAAGGGGATTGCAGAGCAGTTGTCCTTCCCTTTGGAATTGAAACGAACATGAAAAACTTATCTTGCCAACCAACTTCCTCTCTCATCTCTTGGGCCCCAGCCTACTGGTAAAGCAGCTCCAAAAGATTCTAGCAGTCTCCAGGGCACCATCCCTCTCGGCGTCATTCATGGCCTCCAGTAGGCCTTCGAAATGCCTTTTTCAGGCTAGCCGGGCCTTCATGAATAACCTGGACTCAGTCCAGCAGCTCACATTTATCTGAAAGAGAAACCAACAAAAGCAACCTTCCCATTTGTCTCCACGTTGCGCCTTTTATAGATTGGTAGCTGGTGGACTATGAGAAATGTAAAATATTTGGGAATTTTGAAGCCATGGGATTAAGGAGGAGGAGGAACTGAAATGTATTAGAAGTAGGAACATAGAATTATATACAATATATTTCAGCTCCCCTTTGCATGTCTTAAATCACTTAATTAGTTCTATATAACGTGGTTTCACATAAAGATATTTGGTGTGTAGAAGAGATGTGAAGTCGTGGGGAAGAGAGAGGATGGGGAAGTGATTTTAGAGACAATCTGTGCCCCGCCCCCAGCGTATTGTCAAGGGGAGCCTGCCTAGGACTTGCTTAATGACCCTGAAAGGTTAGGGTGGGGGGAGTGTTGCGCTGGCCAGCCAGAGGCACTAGACCCAAAGGTGCCAGGGGGATAGAAAATAACATTAGCCATGAAAACGTTCAAGTTCGTGAAATCTTCTGTTTTCTATTGAAAACCGAAAGTGAACAGATTTTTCAGTGAGCTCAGCGGGCTCATCGTAGGTGTCTTGCTACAAAAGGAAAAGTTACTGTCATCCCTCTCCTTTCCCTGCCAGCTCCCATACTTGCTGCTAACTGGATGCACCCAGCTGCCTTCTGGCCAATAAGCAGTAGTGGAAAAGTAGCTGTCCTTGGTAGTAGAACAGGCTTCCCTCTTCCACAGCATTCTTGTGGCAGGGTGGCGATCTTCAGACAGTTTCCACTGGTCGTCTTCATCAGAGCGAGGTGCTAGGCACTCACGATTGATGCTCTGTTTTATGGACTTAAGTTAGGCTACACTGGCCAATGTGAACCTGACATCCTTGTTCGGAGGAGGAGGGCACAGATTTCCTTAGAGAGAAACTATTGCAGAATGGGAGGGTTGGGGGGGGGGGAAAAGTTAGTTGGTGGGAGGGGGTGGTAGAAGGAGGACCCCCCTCTTGAAATGTTTTTTTGTAGAAGGTGAGAATGTTTTGCTTGTGTGTAGACTCAAGTAGCACTGGAACTAGCAGATGGCCAAAATCTAATAGAAAGCAGACATGGTCTGGGAGGGATGGAAGCCTGTAACCCAAGAGCTTAGCTAAGCCCTAACGCTTCTCCTAAGGTCCCATGAGCCTCTTGACCCATTTGTTATCTCTTCCTCTCCCCACTCCCTACCCCCCACCCCCCACCCCCATCCAGCTTTATTTTTCAGAGTGTGCTGCATCTCTTAACGCACCACAGTCACTTTCTAGCTGGTTTCTCCTTCTTCACCATATGCCAAATTTGGGTGTTTCTTATACGGTCACCCATTGACTTACCTGATGGGGTATAGTTGTGGAATCTGGTCCACCATGTTTTCAATTCTGCAGCATAAATTTGTGGACAATATGCACCATGGGGGGGGCAGAAAACTGGGTGATAGAACCCAAGAGGAGGTGGTGGGCTTGTTCTATCCAATGCTCTGCTGATCCTTGCCAATGGACTTAATTACCTTTGGCTACCGAAACTAATCATTATTCAATGGGCACACTTTCTGAAGTGGCCTCAGAGGACTGCCCTAATCAGCAAAGCAACATTCCCTCCTCCCCTAAGTGATCTGATGTTTAATTGCTAATGGAATAAAACGGATGGGGGTAGATGGGAAGAGACTGTTGGTACCTCTTTCCAGATAACGGGCATTTGGAAAAATGTGGTTCTGGAGAATAGTGGAAACCTTGGGAATAGAAATCCTACTGGACCCTATCCAGGGCTTCTTCCTTCCCAATGGCTAGCCCTGTTGTAGGTGAGATTCTCTTGATGTCTGCATAGCCCCAGTTGGCCATCCTGTTCAATGAGAGAAAACCAGTGACAGAGCTGTGGTTTGCATTTGCTACTGTGCTGTTGCCAAGATGACCCTGGCGGCTTCTGGGTTTTTGGCGGGGAGGTAGGGTGCAGGTGTGGACAGCCTTGAGGCATCATTCCATTATCCCCAAAAGGGCACAGCCTGCACTACTACTAGGAGCCAAGCTAGCCTTGGAAGAGCCTGCCCGACTGTTGCCAGCCTGAGAGAAGAAGGGCAGATTAGGGCAGTTGGCTTCCCCCAATTGATGTAATGGGTTTGGGGATAAAAGGAAGCCCATGGCTGGCTTGTCAGTTTCCCAGCTCTAGTTCCAATTGTGCCTGTGCCAACTCAAGTATTGCAAGGTGGAAGAGAGTCTATTTGCAAACCTAGGCACCTCCCCTGGGGCTGTCCCACTGTGTGAGATGGGCTCCTGATGCTTTGACGTTGTCCCCTTGTCAAGGACACCTCTGAGTAGAAGGTTGAAGAGGAGCAGTGTGGGAGCCCAGGCTTGGCTGAGCTCTCCCCCACTCCCTTTTGCTGAAGGGAGGTCCAAGTAGGGAAAAGGAGGAAACTTAAGGAGGTGAGGTGATATGACAGGAGGACTAGATTTGGAGTCTGACTTCCTGGATTGGTATCAGCTCCACTGGCTTATCTGTGATATTGGGCAAGTCGATCTCTCTAGGCCTCAGTTTCCTCATCTGTAAAAGAAGGTGGTTGGTACAGAGTTCTAAGGTCTTTTCCAGCTCTATATCTGTAATCCATTGCTTCTAGAAATCAGAGCTGGGGTGTGGCCCTGATGGCAATATACATTTCACAATCCCCATGAGAATTTTGCAGAGACAGTGCCTTTATCCTTCAGCCACTCCCCACCCCTTCCAAAACTCCCTTGCCATGCCCCTTTGAGGGCAGGGGCACCCTCCTTTCATGCCCCCCCCCAGGCTTTTCAGGGACTGCTTGGATGGTAGCTGCTGCCTGTGCCTAACGCCCTAGAGAGCTGTTGTCTGTGGTGGTGGTGGTGGGAAGGACTCTCTCAGAGATATGGTCAAGGTAAAGACATGGGTGTGGCATGATGGGTGGGGAAACTCTGGAAAGCCAAGGTGGGGAGGGGTGGGGCTTGTGATACTTAGAAGAAGTTTGTAAGCCCTTGTCTTGTACCCAAGGACGATATTTGTGCCTTTACTCCTGAGTGTTACTCCTGAGTAGTGGTCCTTTCTGCTACAGAGACCATAAATCCCTTAACATTTCTGTGTGCGTGTGCTTGGAATTGGATAATTCTGATGATAACCTGAGAAATGTTCACACTAAATGCATGGTCAACTCTTGATCATCTACCCTGAAAGGGGGAGAGCAGTGGCAAGATCACTGTGGGACAGTGGAAAGAACACAGTATTTGGAGGCAGAGGGCCTGGGTTCAAATCCTGCACCTTCCTACCTGTATGACCTTAAGCAAGTCAACTTCACTGCTTTGGGTCTCAGTTTGTTCATCTCTTAAGATTGCAAGAGCTGGACTAAACAACCTCAGAGGTTCCTTTTAGCTCTAAATCCATGACCCTTTAATGCACAATTCCTTCTTGTCTCCCTTTGCTTGACTCTGTAAGACTTCTGGGTAGCAGACTACTTTTCCACTGGCATTTTGCTGAAATGATGATAACAGTAAGTTTACAATCCTTGAGCACCTACCATCTACATGGGCAGCACTGAAAGATGGCCCAGAAACATGTTGGATTGTCAACAGAAATTCTGCTGGGATTCTGATTCACAGGAAGAGGTCACCAGAAATGGAGGGATGCCCGATGGGGATAATCAAGAGTTGACACTTTGGGAGGTGGAGTGACTTGCCCCACTCTTTGCCCCGCCTTGGTTTGGCTCAGAAATCGGGGGGGTGGTTTGTGAGGCTAGACCAGACCGAGAAGATGGGTCTTTGGAAGCTAACCTTCTCCCCACTTCTTTTTCCCATTCCCACTGAAAGGATTGATATTCATCGCAAGGAGAATGCTGGTGCATCTGAGAAGCCGATTACTATTCATGCTTCTCCTGAAGGCTGTTCAACTGCTTGCAAGATCATCATGGAGATCATGCAGAAGGAAGCCCAGGATATGAAATTGTGAGTAAAAGGCTTTGCCTGGGGAGGATTCCCAGGTCAGTGTTGGGTGTTCCCTGGTGCTTTCTTTTGGGTCTTTTTAAACAGAACCCTGCTAGAGTACTGAGGAGTGAAGGGTAAGGTGTCCACGTGTTTCGCCAGTGGCCTTAGCAGTGGGAGACAAAAGTGTTTCTGGCACTTCTGTTACCTTGGTTGGGAAACTGAGGCCCATCGGTTTGAGCGTAGTGCCTTCCAGCTAACGCCCCTGGATGTGGCTATTTGTGGGGGCATTGGATGGGGGGCTTTCTTCAGTTCTGACACAGTATTGGTTCTTGGTCCCCCATAGCAGCCACCTGAGTCAAAATGTATGCTGTAACCTCCTGCACTTAGAATTAACTCAGCCCACCCTTCTTGGGGAATGATTTGTGAATTTTGTTGCTAAATCATTTACAGAAGCTGATTTAGCTCAGCTACCCAAGGGTATGCAGTGCATCTAGTGAACAGAACAGCAGGCTTGGGGTCAGGGAGCTCTGGATTCAAATCTTGCCTCTGTGTAATTATGAGCAAGTCTCTTCTACTCTCTGAGCCTCAGGTTCTCCATCTGTAAAATGGGGCTGATGATCGTCCCAGTAAGTACTTACCCCACAGGGTTGTTGTTTGGTTCACATGAGGTGATGCATGTCATGTTCTCTGCCATCCTGGAAATACTTTAGGAATGTCATTCAGCATTCACCAAACACCACTGGGCCATCCATCATGTACTAGTAATGGTAGCCCCTCTGAGATGGGGAGGGAGGAAACGGGACCAAGAGAGTTTTGAGCAACTTGGAAGAAAAGTACCTATTCATTTCAGGACAGTCATGTTTGTATCTCTTGAGTTTTAGGCCTTAGCAATCAGTCTTCTGGGTGTTGATAAGCCTTAAGAGGCTGTTGTGGGAACTGAATGTGTTTTTCAGTTGCCTGGATGGCACTGGAAAGGCAGTGAAGGCTGTCCCTGATGGGTTTTGGGATCTTTGGTTCAAAACCTTGAGTGCCATGCCAGGGGGGCATTTGTGTGATGACCCAGCTCTAGCTAAAGAGATGTACCTAATTCGTGTCTCTCCTTGGGTTCCTTGATAATGGAGGCAAAAGAGAGAGCATCTCTTCCCCCTTGCAGGGATATCAGTGCAGAGAGTCCCCGATTCCCCCTTTTAAAGGAAGTCAGTTCTAAAATGTCAGCCTCTTTTCCATGACCTACAAATTAGGGGCCAGTGGGAGCTTAAAGCCTCCATGCTGTTAACTTGCTTATTAATTCTACCTGTTATGCTTCAGTTACATAGCTGGGGCGCATGACTTGGTTTTCTGCATAGTAAGTGGGCATTCTTGCAGGCTGGTGACCAAAGTCTTGCTTGATCTTTTACATCGTCAAAAGGAGTCTGAATAAAGGCTTTCCTTCCCTTTCCCATCCCACTTCCTCCTATGATTGTCAGCTACATCAAAATTTTGAGTTCTCTAAAAATGAATTGGCCTGACCCATCCTAGTGAGGGGTAGGCAGAGGTGCCAAGCAGAATGCTGTCTTGCCAAGGGCAGTGGGCACCTTCGTGATCCAGATATCTCTATCTCCAATAGATATTTTGAGCAGGAACCAAGAGGGAAAGAGGGAGACATTCCCCTGTGTCTCTCCAACCTGGCTTGGTTTTATTTCTTTCTCAGCCTCCTAGACCTCTACCTTTCAATCCCTGGCCTTGATGCCTGCTGGCCAGCCAAGAAAACAAGAATAAAAAGGCTCATTTGGGGATCAGAAGAATCTCCCAAATTGCTCAAGAACTTTGGTGTTCCTGCCCAAGTTTTATTTCCTACTCTTTCCATTTCCACCTGCCTTGACAGATAAGCTCTTAAGACAATGTCCTGTGATTAAATCTGTTTCCTAGAATCCAGAAGAAGCCCTAAGAGGAAGCAGCAGTTACTACCAGTGGCAATAGCTGCCTGTGGGCCAATCCCCAGAGTTGTCAGAATCATAGAAAGGGGGACTAGCTGACTCAATGTCACCTCCTGCTCACCCCACTTCTCTGTTCTCCCCTCTCTTAATTTATGACCTTGATTCCCTGTGGAATCCAGAACTAGTGGCTTGGAGCTTGGGGGAAATGGTGTCTCGCCCTCCTATGAGGGAAGTGGGGATGGGGTCAAGAGCTGATATACAGAATTTTGTGGGATGATATAAAGACCAAACATACATAGCATGGGCACTAGGAACATCTTTTGCAATAGAAATGTTTACCCAAGCAAGGAGGACACTTGTGGAAAGGGGCCCATTTGACTGGGGACTGCCTTAACTAGGATTTGCCATAGCCCAGAGCAGCAGCTCTCTGATGTTGCACCAGTTTTTTTCTCTAATAATTCCCGTGTAAAGATGCTTTCACCAGGGAGAGTCCCTTCTTTCAGAGTATGTCATGTTAACATTCATCAGCTTGGCATCTGAAAGCAGTATTAGCCTTTCTTAGTGTCTGAAGGTTTTGCAAGATGATGCTGTATGGGGGTTAGGGAGCAGGTCATTTGGGTCAAGAGTTTCCAAAGAACTTATTTATTAATGTCACTGATTTTTTTTAAGTGATTCTTGTTTTTATAACAGAAATCTGGAAATGGAAAAGTTCTTTAGAGCCCATCTTGTCCAGCCCACTGTTATTTATATAGATAAGGAAAATGTGTCCCAGAGAAGGGAAGGGAATTGTCCAGGACTCAGCTCTTCAGCAGCAGAACTGGGGCTAGAACTCCAGTCTTAAATCCCGTCCAGTACTATCACCTTTAATTATAAATTATTTCTCTATTTCTAACAGGCACTTCCATGGTATTTCATCTCGGACCTCGCTTAGTGCAATGCCTCGTTCATAGTAGGCACTCAAATGTTTGCTAATGATTGGATATTATCTTTTTATTAAAATTTCCCCCCCCCCCCCCCGCCTTGAGTTCCTGATGTTTTTTTTTTTGGTCTTGCAGCAACGAGGATCTTCCTTTGAAGATTCTGGCTCATAACAACTTTGTTGGCCGCCTGATTGGGAAGGAAGGAAGGAACCTGAAGAAAATCGAGCAGGATACTGATACCAAGATCACCATCTCGCCGTAAGTATTGCACTGGCTTAAGATTTTGACTCAAATATCTCGGGATGCTATGGGAGCCCAAGCCACCATTAACATAATTCATTCAGCAGAGCTGACTCACTTTAATTTGAGTTGCCACTCTCCTGTGTCCTGTCTATGTACTTAATAAATATGTTCACTCTCATTCTTCCAAATCATCTACCATCCACAAGTATATATCCTTCTGGAGCCCCCATTGGAGGTGGTGTATCTGTTTCCAGTGGAGGAGCAAGAAGGATTAAATGTTGAATTTCGATGTTGGATAAGAGGGTTGCTAAGGCAACATAGCTTGCAGTAGTAGAAAGAAGACTGGATTTGGAGGCTGAGGACCTGCATTCAAATCCTGTCTGCAAGTTACCACCTGTGTGTGACTTTGGGCAAATAAACTTCCCTCTCTGGGTCTCAATTTCTTCAGCAGTAAAATGAGAGATTTAGACTACATGGATCATTAAAGTTCTTTCCAGCCCTATGTGGTCTGATCATATAGTTCTCTGGCCCAGTGGAATGGAAAACCAAGAACTTTTTTTTTTTTTTTTGAGGGAGAGGAATACATGAAAAATGTTTCATGTAAAGGAAAAGAGGAGGGAAATAATAACACATATCTATGTAATTCCTTTGCCTTTATTTATTCATTTTTTTGCTATGAGATCTCTACCCACCTGTCAGGATCACAACTCCTCTCTGCTTTAGACAATTATCTGAGACTCAGAGAGGTTAAACAACTTGTCTCTAGTCACACAGCCAGTAAAGCATTGAAAATGTGGGATTTGAACTCATGTATTCCCAACTCCAAGTCTTACGCTCTATCTGCTACACCAGGCTAACTGCAAAATAAATAGATGTGAAAATTCAAGAGAAAACTGGTTTGCGATGACAGCCCTTCCTTTCTCAGTGAAGTGCTCTTTTAGGAAGATGCGAGAGAACATATGAAAATATAAAATAGCAGGAGAGCAAAAGTTGGCATAGTATGGCTTCTTCTCTTTGGAGAAGGCAAAGATGGTTTTCCTAACTGTATCAAAATCGACCTTTCTAGTGAGACTGAAAAGTATTGAAAAGTAACATCTAATGAACCTAGGTTATTTAGGTTCACTCAGGGGTTTATCCGCTAGTAAATGCCTTTAAATATTATAATATCATCTGAGTCCGATTTCCCATTGTTATTTACTTCCCTTTCCACCATTGTTTTAACTCATATTTAAGTGGCTTGAATTGGCGTTTTCCTTTTCCCGGTTGAGGCCATCTTAGAAGGGTAGGGGGTGGGGATGGGGAGACGAAATCATGTTCCATCAGAACTCCTAGTTAAGGTTTCCAGTCTCCAGCTTGACTGCCTTGCCCCATTTAATGTTGTATCTGAACGGTGTCTGAATGATCTAGTCCATGTCTGAGCCATTAAAGCTGATGATTTTGGTTTCTTGTTTGAAGTTGTTGGTTAAGGTAGGTCATAGAAGATTTGGCTACAACTAAGCTTCCCGTCTTTGAAAGTGGTGAGTGCTTCCTCCTTGTTGGATGGCCCTGAAAACATTGCCCTGGAAAAATGTAAACACCGGATGTCTCCATCTGAACTGTACGTTATTTGAAAGATTAAGTGCTGTCCTCTCTGGAATGGCCGTAGTCTTTTCTTCAGACCGTAAGAATGGAGCTCAAAGTGTAACGGGGCCCTGCTTGACGCTCCTCTCGGCTGTGTAAACTCTTACCTCGAGAATCCTGCTGCCTTGCATTTCACTTTCAAATGACCAGTAGATCTGACTCCAACTTAAATGGTTGATCTCTGAACACCATTTAAAGTATGCTTTCAAACTGAGCTGCAGTTAAGAGACCAGTTTTCTTCAGGATGCTGTGAAGAGAAGTTCTCTTGCCTTCTTCTTTATCTTACAATTCTTTCCTTCTTGCTTCTTTGCTAATTCCTATAATGTTTGACCACCCGCTTTTAGCTATTACCAGCTCCCACGGTGGGGTTTGAATCACCATTTGTACCTACGTGGGAATTAACTGTCTTTTCCTAATTCTTTCTTTCTTTCTTTCTCTTTTTCTCTTCCTGTGTGTGTGTTTTTTCTCCGCTCTACAGGCTGCAGGAGTTGACCCTGTATAATCCGGAGCGTACCATCACCGTTAAAGGTAGCATTGAGACCTGTGGCAAGGCCGAGGAGGAGATCATGAAGAAGATAAGGGAGTCTTATGAGAGTGATCTCAGTGCTATGAATGTGAGTTCTGAAATACTGGAGGTGATTAAGACTTTTTTTTTTCCTCCCTTCCCTTTTTTTTCTTTGCTGTATTCTTTTGGTGAGGGTGGTCAGTTAGGAATTGAATGAAATATTTTCCTCATTGATAGAATTGAAACAGTCCTTGCATTGCATCGATATGGGTTTGGTGTTTGTAGTTGAAAGGGGGATGTGCTAGTGAATGGACAATATAAAAGGGAACTGTGGGGCGGGTTAAAAACGCAAGTCCTCCCGGCTTCTTCATCGTTACTTACAGCTCGGGATACACAGAAGGTTTCTGATCGACAAGGCAGTCTGTCTGGAGTAAAACACAGGTAGTACTCAAGCAGACCAGTAGGGAGGAACAAGATAAGTTAGAGGCCTTCATGGCTTAGGGATTCAGCTCTGAAGGGTGGATTTCTCGAGGAAAAGTAGGCAATTAATGGCAGCCTCACCTTGGATAATATTTCTAAACAAGAAAATTCAAAACTGAAGGGGCTGTAGTTAATGAATGGTGCTTCCTCTAGTGTTCAAGTAAGAAAAATGGGACTAGCCAGCCTTTTAAAACGTCCTCAGGAAGAGAAGAATGAGATCTAGACCCAAATTTAGGAGTCAAGGAGTCGTGTTAGCACCTCTCCTGATTTCTCGTTTCATGGCTTCATTCAAGCTTGCCCTCATGGCTGTGCCCTCAACTTTAAAATGTGGCTTCTTGCTTCTAATCCTGTCTTCTTTTCAAAACCTTTGCGTACATTTCAGGACCCTCACTTCATCATTAAAATGACCCTGTGAGACAGAGTCAAAGTGATCTATCCTTACTTTATAGTAAGGCCATTGAAGGCCAAATCATATAATTCCAAGCCTAGAACTTTGGTTTTTCCCCTTTTAAAGAAAAAAAGAAACCTAGTCTTTCCTTGCTGTGTGGCTGTTCGTGAAGCTCCAGCTCTGCATCAAACCTGCTGTGGAAACAGTAGACGTGGCTGCTTGGGGTGGATTCTGTGGCACACTTTCTTTGGGCATCCTGGTTTGTGATGGTTTCCCTCCCCGTAGGGGATGAAGGCATACACCATCCCTCTCATTATGACCAGATTGGCGTTTTCTCCAGCTGGCTTAAGAAAAGATGATGGCCTTTAATTTTATGGGGTGAGTTTAGGAGAGTTTGAACAGTCCTCATCTGGACCAAAAAGATTCCCCCAGTTTTCCAGTGTAGGATCCAAATTCATATACCTGGAGTACCTGCCCTGAGCTAGGGCAAAGTAGTATTCTTGGAAATAGCACCTTGGATTGTGAGGGGTTAGCCTGAGCTTAGGGGTAAGGGGGAGAGAGAGGAGGAGGGAGAGGGTTTCAATGTTAGTACATATCACCACTTGTCAGGAATTGTCCAAGGGGGGCTGCTTGGAAACAAGTCTAGTCTTCAAGCAAATTTTTTTTCCAGATAAGGTTCTTTGTTCCTGCTGGGTAATTTTATTCTTGGCTTTCTCTCTTTTCAACTGCACCCTCCCCGTCTCTTCCCCCCCTTGCCCCTTTCCCAAAACTGACTAATTTTCTCCCTTCTCTGTCCTTTCCCTCTCCCCCACCCACCCAAAAAAAGAGAGAGAAGAAGGGATTTGCAGTGTCAAAGTTAGAGAGGGTGGGTGGATGGGGAGTCTTTCCTTCTGAAGGACTTAAGATGCATGAAACTTTATCAGGCCTCGCTTCAATCTGTCTCATTCCTTTCTTGGCCATCCTGCGTTTCCTAGCTCCGTAGATCTGGTTTGGGCCTCAGTGGAAGAGCGTCACCCATTGGCAGCACCAAGAGTTTATAAGAGATTTGGTCTGTGTTCAGTGAGAGCCCACTGTGGGTAGAACAGTGGATCAGGTGGCACGGAGCACCGTGCCAGACGTATCGGCCACGGTCCTTGCTGCCCGTGGGAACCGCTCCCATCCGTCTCGGGGAGACCGAGCAGGTGAAAGAGATTAATGAAACCCACAGGACACAAGCAAGTGCAAACTGCCCCCTTCCCTCGCTGGTCTGACGGGTTGTTCAGGTGACGTTTGGACATGTGAATGCCAAAGAATTGCCATTATTCTTTTAAAAAGAGAGTGTGAGAGCGAGAGTGAGAGAGCTGGTCCTGTTCTGAGTATCGTCTCGTCTTGTCTCGTCTCGTGACGGAGCTTTGGCGTTGAACCTTTTTGTCATAACATACGTAACCTTCCTACCTTTGCAGCTTCAAGCCCACTTACTTCCTGGATTAAACCTGAATGCCCTGGGTCTGTTCCCAGCCTCTACTACTGGGATACCCTCACCCTCCACTTTGGGGGTTCCTTCGGCTGCAACTGCTACTAACTACCTGGCATATGGGGTAAGCTTTTGGTTTGGGGCTGTATGAGATGAGTGAGGAATTCTTAGGAGGGTGTGACAGGGCCCTTGGAACAGTTAGCCTTGAGTAGCATCTCTTGCTATACCTGCTGCGACTGTGGAAAGCCACTGGCAGCAAAGAGCTTGGGGGAAGGGCTGGGGAGGAGATGCCCAATCAGCCCCTTGAGCCAGGCCGGCCTTCTGGGCAGCAGGTGCTCTAACCCAGCTTTAATCCCAGCGCACAGATCCCCGTTCTGTCCATTGGCTGAGTCCCTTTAGCCCCTTCCGGTGTGAGCTGGTGGATTCTGTTTCTCCAGCCCCTAGCATGGAGCCTTGCACATAGTATTTGTTTAGTCGATGCTGGTTGGATGGATTTGGGGAATGTCAGTCAATGGCATGTTCTTGACAGAGTAACCTCACTAACTTGAATGTCAAGATTTACTCCGAATAACAAATGGCAGGGACTCGTTTCCTTCCTCCCTTTAGGAAAATCAGGAGCCTCTTGGACACTGGCATCTAGGCAGACTTTTTCCTTCCGAGTGTTTTTCTTTGTTTGATGGGAGGGAGCCCTCCTAGTTGAGTAGTATGAGACCTGACCAAAATGTAAAGGGAATCCTCCCTGGGCCCTCCACATACCCCTTGTCAAAGGAGTCAATCTGCATCGTGGTTCCTGAATTTTAATCTCCCTCCTCTCAACCTGGGCCCCTCCTGAAGATGAGCTTCCTACTGAGTGACACCTGGTCTGGGATTGCCTATTTGGAAGTCTATGTCATTTTTGGAGTTTTAAGAGATACCCCCATCGTGGGTTTGCACAACTCCATTCTTTGACTTCTTAAATGACTCCGTTGACGTGTTCCCTGCTCCTCCCCCATTGCCATGACAGTTTTTTGATAATAAGTCACCCTAGAAATTTGATGTCCAAATTGTAGCCAGGAATTAATTCTCTTTGTCAGCCTCTGTCATTGTTTGAGGAGTCTATTTGGTGCAGTGGCGAGAGGGAGAAGTGATTTTTCCCTTCCACGTTCTCCCTAAGAGCTCACTTCCCAACTCATTTTTGTCTACCACCTAATAAAGTAACTTTTCCCATTTTTTCCTTCCTCTCTATCCTCCATCAGTTTTTCTTCTTTATGAAATAAACGATTTCAAAGACCCCCAAAGCACCTTCTTATCTTGCTGTCCATTTTAAGGACTTTGGGGACCGGTTTTTGGCCCTCAAAAAAAGAGAAATTCACTATACTAAGAGACTACTGATAACTTACCATTGGGAGGAAGTTGAGACTGATAACAAATGTCATTCAATGTTGATCAATTAATGTTACAGAGCTTTGCATTAAACTTGTAGGTATGTATACACACGTGTGTATGTCTGTACGTGAACTCTTCCCTGTCTTGTCTAGTGTCCCTTGGGCCAAGGGTATAATGTGAGAAAATAAAACCTGCCCCTTCTTTGCTTTCTAAGAACTAAGACACCTTTCCCTGAGGAGAGGTCTTGAACAAAATGCAAAGAGATAATAGAGATAAAGAAATAAAGTTGGCAGGTTTTATAGCCCTCTGTAGACTTCATTCTGCAGTAAGAGATATCAGTATCTTGGAAAGGCATCTTCTAACAAAATTGATCAGATTAGAGGGAAATTTTTCAGGACTCCTGTGAGACACTAGCAAGTAGGGCCATGTGGTGGAGTGGCGAAGGCTTTGGACTTGGATTGAGGGAAATGGAGTTACGTGGGTTTGAATTCTGCTGAACATAGGTCTTAGCTGTGTGAAAGTGGGCTGGACAGAATCCAAAGAGATGACTTCTGTACAGCCAATCTGAAAGGGCTCTAGGTGTGTCAGCAGCTTTGATTCCAATGCATTTCAGTGTTGAGGATTTGTGTCTCCTGAGATCTGGGGTGTACCTCACTGGGTGATCATGAGATCCAGAAAAATTTTATACAAATTTTTAATGTATTTGGGAACATTTTTTTTAAAGAATTCTAGGTGAAAAATTGTCCTTCCCACCAACATATCTTTTTGAAAATGGAGATTTTCCTGTATTCTCTTTTCTTTAACACATATGCTCCTTTGTAGCTAACATATAGCACTTTACAGAGTGCTTTGTTCTATTCTCTTGTTTGAGATCTGGACCACCAGGAGCATATTAGTACTTCTCTTTACTTGGCATCTTCATTAGCTTCAAGAACTCTGGGAATGGAAAGGCTCTTAGAGTCCTCCCTCCTCCTTCCTGAGCACATTTTGGAGAAGAGGAAATGGGTCCTGAGAAGGGAAAGTGACTCCTGAGGTCTTGACTTGTGTCATGTCTAGGACAAGCTGTGCTCCTTCATGGAGTTTACAGCTTCCTGTATGATACATCCCATTTCTCTGTCCTGCACACTTTTTGATGTTTATTGTGACTTTGAATGTGTGAAAACTCACACTCTCAAAAAAATGCATTTTAAATTTTAAATGAAACTAAGAAAAAAGAGGCAGAAAGGCAGGTAAGAGGAGAAGACGAGGGACTGGGAATTATTGGTTTCTTCCAGCAGCCAGGTTAGACTGGCAAGGCCACTGACTCAAGAGCTTGGCTTATGGGATTGGATATTCACCAAATCCCGACCTGACTCTCCATCTCTCTGGCCCCCTGCCCCCAGTTCTTCACAGCAGGATACAACAACTGGAGTTGACCACACAACACTGTTGTCCAGTATACCACCACAGAAAGAGGACAGGCTTTGTGATCATAGGACGTGGGTTCGAATACAGACTGCTACTAGCTGGTTCTGTGATCTTGGTCATTTCCCCCCTTCTGACCCTTGGTTTCCTCTTCTTTAAAGTGCTGGGGTTCTGATTAGATGGTCTCCAATTTCCTTTCTAGTATAGTTTAGGACTGTGTAACATGGCTGTCTTCAAGGAAAAAAAAACAGGTTCTTCTAGGCTGCAGGGAGACAATGACAGAAATTCAGTTGCTCATGAATACAACAGCAAATAAACTAATGAGGGAATGACTGGGATAGGTTGTAAGAGAGAGAGCCTAAGGGAGGGGTGTTTGCTGAACCTCACAACTAAAGGGACCTTAAAGGTTCTCTGTGTCAGTTGTGTTTTTGCTGTTGTGTATTTTAAACAAAGATCAAATTAATGAGACAGTAGAAAAATATATGGGAGTGGCTCCTTAGTGGTTTCTAAGCTCCCTCACTCTCAGCTGAGGAACGAGTTTTCTTGGACTCCTTTCTTTTTTGAGTCTGTGTAAGGTGAGAGCTGTGGCCTGCATGTCTTGCCATGTAGCTGCCATGGCTGAGATACCCACGCATGTGTCCTTGGAAAACTAAGCTTTCCTGTTAGGACTCTCCTTCTTACCCATGACCTCAGCAGCGTGGCAAAAATCAGTGCCTTAAGACTTCAGAAGGGAGAATAAAGAAACATGATAGGCTGTAAGCCCCATGGCTTTTTATAGCTTGGAGTGACTTTCCCATCACTGCTTTGAAAGAAGAATGCCATTTGCCCAAAGCAGATGAGGGATTTCTCTCGGAATAGAGCCTGGCAGAATGAGAAGACTCTCTGTAGAGTCGAGTACTTAGAGCTTGGTGAGAAAATCTGAGACAGTCTTACCCTCAGCCAGCTTTCCTAGCTTCTTATTTTAAGATGGAGAATAAGACTAGAGAAAGCCTTTGCTTTTGGTTCTTTGTCCCTGGGCTTCACTGTCCACTGACAAATCTCCAGCCAAGCTCCAGTGTTGGGGGTTGCTGTGGATGCGCCTCTGTGGGCTCTCACCTTCTGTCCCTATGGCAGCTTTGGTATCACAGCTTTTAAGGGCATCTCGAGCAGCTTGGCTGGAGAAAACTAGAACGTTAAAGCTGATGTCAACTCTGATAGTTCCTCTGTCCAATGATCCATCTCAGCAAGTTATTTTAATCTGATTTAACAAAGAGAAACTTTCCATAGGTGAGAACTAGACAAAGAATTCTGCATCAGCTTGGGAGGTGAGACATGAAGGAGTCTTCAGGCTTTAATCTAGAGGCAATGGGGTGCCACTGTGCAAGGGAGTAACGTGGCCAGATCTATACCTTCAGAAGTGTATTTGGGCAGTTGTGTGAAGAGGACCCTGGAGGAGCATGGCCAGCAGATAACAGGACTTTTACCACCATGGTTTTCTCCGGGGGAAGTTTGCCAAAGGATCAGATTCCCTCTCAATGGGAATCAGAATATTTACCCATATAAACATTAGTTAAGCGATCAATGTTTGTACTTTTAGTCAAAGTTTCCAAAGCCCTGACCCACAGGACATTTCTCCTTTTTTCTCTCCTACCCAAGTATATCTTCAGACCTTTTCCTTTTCTTACCTCAGAGACACTAGAAGTCTAACCACAAATACCTGGAGGACAGAATAAGCTGAGAAAGCTGCAGCTCCATTAGACACAATTCTTTTTTTTTCCTCCTTCCCTGTGTCCTGGACTTCCCCAACTGGGAAGTCACCAGGCTTTTTAATACACACACACACACACACACACACACACACTCCATTTTGACTGCTAAGGAAACCAAGAGGCAAAGGGACTTGGACAAAGGGTACCCAGTAGCAGAGTTGAAATTCCTGCCCAGCTTGGCTGGCTACAACTACAGTACGCTGCCCATGTCACCATGTTGCCATGCTTCTTTTGGAAGGGAGCTCGGAGGCTTCCTTTGCATTTGCTCTCTCACCCTGACTTTATCCCAGCATTCTTTGCCTCACTGCTGCATCCCACAGATGCAAGTCCTGCCACCTTCTCTGCTACCAGCCAGATGGGTTGCCCCAATGAAATGGCAAGTAGTCTTGAGCTTCTGCCTAGAGGCTGGCTTGCCCAGCTCTGAGCTGGCAGTATTTGGCACCCAAAAGTGACAGGAAATGCTGCTTCCAGAAATGCTCCAGTCGGGGTAAGGGTGGGGAAGAAGGGACTGGCAGCTGTGAAGAAAAAACAAAGGAGGTTGGCATAGCCCCGGGCACCAACCACTGGTGCAGTGTTGGCAGCCTGCTGGCACTGTCTGGCAGACCTA